AATACTTCTAAAAGTATGCTGGGAATTCACTCACTGCTACATAAGCATCAATGGAGAAACAAACAAAAACTAACAAACAAAATTTCAGACATGTCCCAAAGAGTGCTACACATGCCTCCCTTCAATTTGCCTCTCTGGGCTCTGCTTTCAAAAATGTGGGGTAAGACTTCCCCTAGAGCATGAAGGGTGGTCAGAAGGGAAGTAACGAGGAGGAGGGAGATGAGACAGGGACTTCTGAATGGTTGTGTTCTTTTTTTATTATTTTTTTTTAATGAGACTCTATTTAAGGTGGAAATGTCAAAGGTTTCCCAAAATTTGAACTAACAGAGGTGATCAAATCCACCTCCCAATGGATTAGAGGAATCCATTTGTATTTAGTTTGGCTGCCTGGGCTCAGGGCCAAGGCAGCTCAGCTGCTCAGTGGGAAGAGGCTCCTAGAGGTGCCATGGGGAATCATGGCCACAGCCAGCCCTAGTCTTGGTGGTGCTGCTTTTAAACCAAGGCTTCACCACCTGGGCCTCACCAGAGCTACAACCACCACTGTGTCATGGGCTTGGCCTGGCCACAGCCCCTGGTATTCTTCTGGACTATATCTGCAGGCTGACCTGCATGTTGTAAGGTGTTATATGATCCAGGCAAAACAAGACATTGGTGTACTTGCATGAAAGTGAGGTTGTTGGTTCGGGCAGAAGAGTCCTTCCATACAACGGGTAGATGTTTTGATGAATTGCCTGGGGCAGAAAGCAAACTGTACCTCTGTGAGCAGGTTTTCTAAAAAAATGTTGGGTCTCTTTCTCATTAATTGTGTTTTTATGTCACTGCTGTTGAGAACATATCTAACTAATTGAATTTCTGGGTGTACACAGAGAAGAGGAGGTAGGCATATTAGCAGTTTGGCTAAATACATCATTTCAGGATCTGATTGGAAAAAATAATCTTTTTCCATGTACTGTGCTAGAGTCATGATTATCTTATTATTGATATGCATCCCGCTAATGGGATCCTTCCTCTGATAATGGGATTGAGAGTTTGGAGGCTGAGAGCACAGAATGTTTAGAAATAGACCCCATGTGCTTAACAACATCTGAGATTAATTGCAAAGACCAAACAACGTTGTCACTAAAAGCCTTCTGTTAAACATAGACTTCTTTAACAAATAATTTATCTAATTACAATCCAGATTTTGAGCAGAACACTGTTTTTCAGGTGGAAAGGACAGCTGCAGCTTTCTTCAAACTATCATATGTTTGACAGTAGCTGATGAAGAAAAGAAGACAAAAAAAGGAAAAAAAAAATCAAATTCAGAGGCCTGAGCAAGATCTGCAAGGTCCTGATTATATGCTCCAGCTATGATCTTTGGTACTACAGAACAGAACGTGGGCCATTGTCACTGCTCCTAGAACAGTGCAAGTTGTTTTTGTGGTTTTCTCAATCCATTTTTTTTTTCTTGGATAACCTTTCCTTCACTTCCAGCTGCTTCCAGGTTTCAGGATGTCAAAGATCTGATCTAGCGTGTCATCTGCATGCATTTTCCATGCTATCTTTCTACTCCCATGCCCTACATATTTGTCAGACACAAGCTGTCGGGTAGTCAGTGCTCTGCCACTGCTGGGTTACCCTGCACTGCAACCTGCTGCTGCCAGGATGGTCAAGTGCTCATTGCCCCAGCTGCAGCTAAAACCCACATCTCCAGAGCATTCTTCAAGATCAGGTTTCTTACTATACTTCTGGGGACTGGCAATGGTCTTGGTTTTATTCAAACATTCTGGCCCCTTGGATCTTCATGGTAGATCCAGTGAAGCAGTCAAAAGCAAAGCACGTAGAAGATAGGAGCTGCTTTAGCATCACCTCAATGCAAGTGCCATCACTAGCGATGGAAAACCAGTTTCTGAAGTGCGTGGCTGGGCAGTGCTGACCAACATTGAGAGTTCGGGCAATAGAAAGCCAGAAAGCAGCAATGGCTGCATCCAGACAGAGTTGGTGCTTCTGCTTCACAGAATCAGAGCTGGCTTGCTCAAGACTTCAGTCAATCGATTCAGTTGCAAGTACACAGTGGGGAGATGTATGGGAGATTCCCACATACAGTTAATGTAACTTGAATGCCTGCATTGCTCAACGAATTGCCAGGAGCTGGGGATACAAGCTCTGGAGTCAGTGTGACCCCCTTGCACAGGGGCCAAATAAAACACCAAGCCAGGGCAGGAGTAGGGGCATGATGGTAGCCAGTTCTCTGTCTCTCTCTCTCTTTCTCTCTCTCCCTTTCCAAGAGAGATTTTTATAATGTGAAAGTGCTGGAATACACAACCAATTACACATTTGGAGGCTTTATTTTTTAAAGGAATCACAAAATGGGTGAGGTTGGAAGGGATCTCTGTGGTTCTCCACCTTGTGAGTTGCCTGGCTACTGCCAGAGGTTTGCAGTTGAATATTCAGTGTGTATGATGTCCAGCAATTGAAGCAATTAAGCAAAGCCTGGGGTGAGGTGGAAGCCTCACAGGCCAATGTTGTTTCAAGTGAGTTGGGAAAACAACCTATCTCTGTACTGAACGTTGGCCTCACCTCCTACCCCTCTTTTCTTTGTAACCGACAACACAACAAGCCTTGTTGAGAGCCAGTTGGTACATGATTAATGACTTTGTCCCCCTCACCAAAAGTATAAACCTGGCATTTGGAAAACTCCACTTTGAGGATGAGAGCTCCAGTTATCAGACAGGTCTATGGGCCTCAACCTTTCTCCTCACCAAGTAGGGACGCTTCTTTCGTAAGCCTCTCGCCTCCAACAATGTTGGATGTTACCCAGGAAAACATTGATAACTAAAGCACTGAACTATTAACTCAAGCTCAGTTATTGCCATAAGTGAATTTATCAACAGCAATTCTGAATCTCTTATATCTGTTGCCTTAATAAATTACATATCTTTTCAACTTTGTGAAACTGTCTCAGTGAAAGTCCTTGGTAGGGCTCTGAAACAGGCAACCATTGACTCTCGTGAGTATCTATATCCATAATTCTTTACACATAAAGTGTTGACCAAGTCTGGGACTAGGATTGGATCCAACCACACCTTGACTCCTCTCTGAGAAGGAGTTTGAAAGTGAAGTGGTCCTTTCTGAACCTCACGACTCAACGGGAGGGTCTTCCTCAGCCATATACCCTTAACACAACAAGTACCTTGTACAACAAGGTGAGGGGAGTGCAGAGATTGTTATTTACCTTCTTTGTAGGTGTTCAGATGAGCTTCTGTCACATAACCTAACACAAGTGACCTGGGCAGGCTACAGGAATGAGCTGAAAGGAACTTCATCTGGCATGCATAAAAAGGAGTGTGGCCAGCAGGTCAAGGGAGGTGATCCTCCCCCTCTACTCTGCCCAGGTCAGGCCTCACATGGAGTACTGTGTCCAGTACTGGGCTCCCCACTATAAAAAAAGACAGGGATCTCCTGGAGAGAATCCAGCGGAGGGCAACAAAGATGATACGGGGCCTGGAGCATCTTCTCTGTGAGGAAAGGCTGAGAGACCTGGGTCTGTTCAGCCTGGAGAACAGAAGACTGAGAGGGGATCTTAACAATGTTTACAAATATCTTAAGTGTGGGACACAGAGGGATTTGGCCAACCTCTTTTCAGTGGTTTGTGGGGACAGGACCAGGGGCACTGGGACAGGCTGCCCAGAGTGGTTGTGGAGTCTCCTTCTCTGGAGATATTCAAGGCCTGTCTGGATGCCTACCCGGGCAGCCTACTCTAGGGAACCTACTTTGGCAGGGGGGTTGGACCCAATGATCTCTTGAGGTCCCTTCCAACCCCTACAATTCTGTGATTCATGAAATTCAGTGGAGACATGCCAAGTCCTGCACAAGAAACAGACTAAGCCCTGCAGTAGTACAGGCTGAGGACCGACTGGCTGGTGAGCAGCTGGGATGAAAAGGACCTGGGAGTCCTGGCAGGCAATGAACTTAAATAGGTCCTCGGTGCATGCTGGCACTGACAAAGGCTAACAGCATCCTGGACTGCAGCAGCAAGAGCACAGCCTGTAGATCCAGGGAAATTATTCTCTCGATTTACTCAGCACTCTTTACACATCTGGAACAATGGTCCAGTTTCGGACACCCCACCTCCACCCACCCAGTATGAGAAACATATTGATAATCTTGAGTGAGTTCAGCAGAGGGCCTTCAAGAGGATTGAGGACTGGAGCACCAGAGCTCTGAGGAGAGGCTGAGGGAACAGGGCTTGTTTAGCCTGGACAAGAGAGCTTCAGGAGCACCTAATACCAGCCTCTTAATATGTAAGATGTTACCAAAAAGAGAAAGGAAGGCGCTTTATGGAGGTACATGGTGGATGAACATTCACCTGATTATAAGGGGAAAAAAGTCGCTATGAGGATAATTAAGGACTAGAACATGTTGCTCAAAGAAGCAGTTGCATCTCCGTCCTTGAACATTTTCCTGACTTGACTAGACAGAGCTATCAGCAAACCTGTCTGAATTTGGTATTGATCCTCCCTGAGCAAGAGACTGGACATAGCGACCTTCTGAGGGCTCTTCCAGCCACTTACTTTAATGATGCTATGAATAAAGGCTATTCCTCCCCAACCATTTGATCCTGATGTGTTGTCCCTCTAGGTGAAGTCAGTGCTCCTTAACGAAGCAAGCAAACCATGCCTTGGTTCTGTTATTTCAGAGGTCCCCTTCCTTCCCAGCCAGGTCCTGTGCTGTCCCTGTGTTAGGGTACAACTGGATGCTCCATGCACTAGGGAAAACTGCTGGAACTGCCAGGAACATCTGAGAGAGGAATGGGAATTAGGTATAACATAGAGAAACAACACAAGGACCCTGTTCTCATTTTAATAGATTACAGAAAATGCTTCCTCCAGCATCTTTGGGGAAAAGTTGATATTTTCTTTTTGGTGTAAAGTAAGGGCAGCTGTTATATGACTAGGAACATCTAAACTTGGAGAGTGGGGAAGGACAAAAAATAAAATAGGACAGAGATACACTTGAGGTTTTGCTTTATGAATTTTTGGACTATTCTTGTTTATTTTTTGGTCTTTCATGAAAGAGGACTAACAAAAATGGTTATTGTACTGACATTTTTGTTAACATTTTTGCAGACACAATATAAGGAAAATATAAAGGATTTTTTTTTTTTTGAAAGAAACCTTTTAAATTCACATCTAAAAGAGTGTTTTAAATATGCTCATTTTATACATATTTAATAATCATCAAATTTTTTTCATACATTAAAACTATAATAATGACAAAGAATTGTGATAATACAATGTTACTTTACATAGACATTCATCAGTTAGAATGGTGAATTCATCATTTTCATCAAGATTTTAATATGGTTAAAAATATGCAATGTGCCTTTCATATACAAAATTACCAAATAACTGTGTACGTATTAGTTTACCAAATGCCAGTTAAAAATACTGAAAACAAAGGTAAAAGATATTGAAAAGAACAAGTCATGCTGTTGACTGAAAGTAATAAAGCTATAGTGCAACAGCTGAAGAAACCAGTGATGGGTTTTCTAGGTCAACGCAGAAGAATACATTCAGCATAACCAGATGTTCTACCTTGTCTTTGCAATAACATATTCTGAGATACTACAAAGGGTCCAGTTATGCTGAAAACTACACAATTCTTCAGTGGGCATTCCTGGATGAGAAGATTCCTATAGCCAGCTCCCATGTTCTGCTCTATCATCTGCAGACCCTTTTATCTCAACAATTTCATCTGCATTGGTTGCATCTCCTAAAACTACTACTAAACTTGACAGAGTGGTGTGAGGATCGAGCAGTTTCAGGAGAGGTATGTCCACCTTTCTTTCTTGAAAGACGCGGTTCTGAATTGTCATAGCTAACATAGAGTCTATGCCTAATGATGAAAGAAGTGTATTCATGGTTAGTTCGTCTGGGGTCAATCCAGTGAGCTCACTCACCAGTGAGGTAATATAGTCTTCAGACTTGACTAAAGCAGGACCTTGGTCTTGAGTTTTCACAGATATTTCAGGCTTGTTCCTGAATTCTTCTGACCTAAGTGACCTGAAGCGATTATTGAGTGATAAAATCCGAGTAAAAACGTGATTAAATAAAGTTTGAAAATTGAACTTGACAACAGCTTGCTGTGGGTTATTTGTAAGTAAGCTCTTCCTGAGATACTCATGAATTTCATGCACTTGGAGGACATCTATGCCCTTGGATGCCAGAATGTTCTGAATCTGGTCTTGATTGAACAATATGCCGAGGTTCAAAGCACCCCAGTTAATGGATTGGCCTGAAAGCCCACAGTTCCTCCTGTAGAGGCAGAAGACATCTAGGAAAGAGTTTGCAGCTGCATAGTTTGCCTGCGTGGCATTTCCCAGAAAGGAAGTAACAGAGGAGTAGCACACAAAGTAGTCAAGCTCATGGCCTTTGGTAGCCCAGTGAAGATTTACGGTCCCTGCCACTTTTGGGCTCAGAACTTTCTGAAAGTCAGCCAGCTTCAGAACTTCAAGCCGACCATCGTGTAAAACCACAGCACTTTGAAAGACACCTTTGATTGGACTGCCTACAAATAGTTTTACAATGGACTGGAAAGCTTTCTCAACTTCATTGGCTGAAGTAATATCACACTGCACAAACACTATTTTGCTCCCTTCATACTGCTGCTGCAAAGCCTTCATCTCTTCTTGCTTCTCATTACTTGGATTTTTCCTGGAAAGTATTGCAATACACCCTCCTCCATTCTTGGCAATAAATTTCACAGTTTCAAAGCCAAGTCCAGTGAGACCCCCTGCTACTACATAAACAGCATTCTGCTTAAATATCTTCTTCTGGGGTTCATACACCGGTATATCTGAAACCATGGTGATGTTCCTCTGCCTTCTCAGTACAGCAAGTGGGACAGATTTGCATGTAAAATATGAGGCCAGAGAGTGCACACTTTCAAAGTTCTCCTTTTGTTGAAAAACAGAAGCTGGCAGAGATTTAAACCGTTTCATATCTATTGAACTGAGCCACGCATGCATAGTCTTTTGCAATTCCTTTAGAGATGCTTTCTGGAAAATGCTGCTAAGTGTGAGGATGTGAAAGCTGATATTTTCATGATCAAATCCACTGACATTCTGAATACATTCAGACTGTTGATTGCCACATACTACCACCACATCTTTAAGAAAGTTCATGTGGGCCAAATCCTGCTGAGACAGTCTATGTACTGGAGGAAGAACAACAAGGGCATGACATGAATTTATATACTGGAACTCACTGGGAGACGGCCTTGCAAATACTACTTTCCAGCCCATCTCTTCTGCTGCTGCAGAAAGAACTTGGCACAAAACTGACGATGGCTCTTTCGAAATAATACCCAAAATTCTGCCATGTTTCCCCTTGGGTAACCTCTGACTTAAGATTTCCCATGCAATTATAAAGTATGACACACAAGGAACATTCTGAAAGCAAGGGAATTTCTTTACATTGAAGCAAACTGTTCCTGGAATCTGAATTCTGGATGATGCAGCAGCTGGATAACATGAAACCACTTGATCTCCAACTTTAACTTTCTTCACATCAACACCTATTGCTGTTACAGTGCCACTGAAATCAAGAGCTAAAAGTCTGTGTTTGTCTATTGCTTGGGAATTCCAGTACAGTGTATTACCAAAGTTCCGACTAGAAACGCTAATAGGAAAATAATCTTCTGAGTGGAGACACACTTTATCCACTTGAATTTCAATGCTCTGTTTTTCAAGCTGAGTAGCAGTGCTGGTGGACAACTCAGCAGACAAGTCTTTGGCTGTGTACGGATCAGCAGTGTACAAAGTGAACGTTTCTGAATTATGGAGAGACCTTACAGGTTGGCTGTAATCTGAATCTACAAATGGTGTGCGCCTGACTTCAGTCACATAAACTCTCCCTTGGCTGATGTAAAGTTCTGGGTATTCCTCACCTCTGTATTTGATAAGAATGTCTGATAATGCTGAGATGTCCAGGGAGCTGGAAGAGCTGAGGTCAATTAGCTGAAATGTAATTTCTGGAACTTCAACAATACAAGTTCTGGTCATGCCATAGAGTGCAAACGCACAGTTAATGTGGTCTACATTTCTTTCTGTCGTTCTGTAGCTGATAACTCTGATTGAACAGCGGGACCTCTTCTCTCTTAATGCCACAATAACTTGGCGATAGGCTTCACAACACTTCGCCAGTTGGTCTACCATTTTGCTTGGGAACTCTTCGTTTAACTTTTGAATTCCCCACAAGAACAGAATTTCATCATAATCCTTGACTTCGGCTTTCATTTTATTCTCTCTGTGGACTTCCAAGAGGGCTTCCCAGTCCTCGTACATAACATATCTGGAATCAGGATGCAAGTATTTTTTGAGCTGTTCAGCTATCCCCAGTTTGTCAGCAAACACTAGGACTTTGGGCGTTGCACCTAGATGTCCAATCACCTGTGAAGAAGTGACTTCTACCCACTTGTTTTCAAACATGAACTCGTTGTCTCTGGAAGATGCTTGCTTCATGAAAGTGATGGCAACACGTTTGAGTTCAGCCAAAACGGAGCCGTGTTTGTCCATGAAGCATCCGCAGACCTCTAAGCAGTTCCCAATGGATTTACTTGTTCTCATATAAATCATCATTTCTTCCTCCAGTGGTCGGAGCACCACCAGGCTGCCTATCCCTGATGGAAAGCCTGCTCTGGACTGGAACGTCTTTGAGGTCATGACAGCAGTCATCTGCAGAAAACAGTCTAGCAGCACTGGATGAATACAGTAGCTGTGCATCTCTTGGACAGTCTCCTTGTTCACCTTTATGCTTGTTATAGCTTCCTTTAGTTCTTGGCAATAATGCACATCGCTGAGCTGCCTGAATATGGAGCCGTACTGAAAGCCAACCTGAGACAGTGCTTCATAAACCTCCTCTGTGCTAATCACTAAACTGCATCTCTGATAGACGTCTTGGAAGGAGATGCTGCTTTCTTCCACAACAGCATCAGACATTTTTGTAACTTGGCCTGAAGCATAAACTGCATTGGAGGACGAGAGTATCTCAAAGGCTGTCACTACGTTATCTGGACTCAGCTTGATATTCAAGACTTGGGAATTCTGTGTGAGAACACACGGTGCTGAAAAGCTGATACTCAACTGGCAAGTACTCAGAGGCGCTTTAGGTCTTGAGCTGCTCATCACACAGGACAGACCAAGCTCTACATAAAAAGCACCAGGGACTAAAGCCACACCGTTGTTCTTATGCTCGTACAAGTAGGATGTCGTGTCCTGAGAGAGCAGGCAGCCAAATTCTGTGTTGTCACTGTTCATGTCATAAATCAAAGGATGACTGGAGCTGACACTTCTTTGGTTTGCTTGTGGACGGGTAGCTGGAGAGGTGAATTTTTTACGATCAAATTGGTACCGTGGAATGGCCACTGGAACACTTTGATAGCCATTATAAAAGTGCTGCCAGTTGGGATTATATCCCAGTTCAAACAGATTTCCTACCAGGCTAAAGAGTGTCTGATACTCCACATCAGACTGCAAAGAAGAGAACACAGGAGTGGCTTTCCCTAGAGTTTCTTTTATGCTTCGCTGCAATGCTCGGTGAGGACTTATTTCCACAAACACCACATTTTCCCTGTCTCTAGCTGCAGTTTCTATGGCTTGAGTGAAAGCAACAGGCTCGCGAGTATGCCGGGCCCAGAATTTGCCCTGAATGAAGTCATTTGCAGAAGCAGCCATCCCAGTCAGCGTTGAAATTACTTCAATTTCCCCCTTCTGTTTTTCTAAAGGCTGTATGGTCTCTTCCAACTCCCCAAGTATCATATCCATGCTGGGGCTATGGTAGGCAGCTGGGACATTTAAAACATGAAGAAAGATGTTTCTTTGGCTGAATGTTTGAGCTAAATCTTTCTGGACCGCATCCACAGCGTCCGGATTTCCAGACAAGGTGCACGTAATTGGGCTGTTGAAAGCTGCAATGCACACCTTTCCTGAATAGGGATGCAGACATTCAGCTATCTCTTGAACGGGGATGTTTCCAACCACCAACATCCTGCCACTGGGAGTCTTTGCCTGCAGCCTGCTCCGGTGATAAATCACTTTGACAGCATCTGCCAGGGAAAGGTAGCCAGCAAAATGCGCTGCTGCAATTTCCCCCACTGAGTGGCCAACAGCAGCTACTGGCTTAATGCCCCAGTACTTCAGAAGGGAAGCTAGGGCAACCTGCAGGGTGAAAAGCATGGGCTGGGAGAGTTCTGGATTCAATAACTCCTTCGAGCTGCGGCCTTTTGCTGGCAGGATGCTGATGGGGGCGTGTTTCTGAAAGAGCGCTTCTACTTCCTTACACTTGTCCCTGAACACTGGCTCTGAGCTCAGCATTGCCTCACTGAACTCCTTCAGTGTTACACCATTGCCACAGAACACAAACACCAGCTGTGGCTCCACCTTTGACATGGCAAATTCAGTGCTTCTTGCTGACATAACCTCTTGCTGCAAGTGTTGGAGAGAGTTTGTGACAAATGCTTTTCGGTACCTGTAGTTGGCATGGCTTCTTCTGCAGGCAGACGTATAGGCCAGGCTTGGGAGAGTTATGGAGTTTCTCGTGCTCAGCTGGTCAGCTGTATCGGCGATTGTCATCTGAAGGGACTTAGTAGATGCTGCAGACAGCAGAACTAATTCCAGTGGCCTCTTAAAGGCAGGAAGAGGCTCTGGCTGCTTAACCTGCCTGACTACAACGTGGGCATTGGTTCCTCCAAATCCAAAGCAGTTGATGCCAGCTACCCTTCCGTACTCACCGGAGTCTTCCCAGGGCTCAACACTTGTGGGAACTGCAAGGTTTAACTTCTCTGTATCAATGCTGCTCATCTCCTTTGAGTAATGCAAAGATGGAACAATCTTTCCGTGATGCATCATCAGAAGCACTTTGATTAACCCTGCTGCTCCAGCAGCTGATTCTGTGTGGCCAATATTTCCTTTCACTGAACCAATTTTCAGAGTGGGAACTTGTGAAGATCTGTTTTTACAAATGACACTAGCTAGGCTTGCAGCTTCAGTAGGGTCTCCAGCAGCAGTTCCTGTACCGTGTGCTTCAATATACTGCACAATGGAGGGGTTGACATGAGTTTCATAAATGCTGCGCAGTAAGTTCTCTTGCTCTATTTGAGATGGCCTTGTGATTGGAGTTATAGACCTACCATTCTGATTTACTGCACTGATATTTATAACACCCCAGATTTTGCTGAAGTCTTCCATTGCCTGTTTCACAGGAAGAGAAAATTACCTTTAATAACCGCATGCTTTTTCTGTATAGGACAAAAGAATCAAGAACAGACAGACGGTAATACTAACTTTTAAGCTTGTGATGTCTTTCCCATGCTAGGGGAAGTGCATAAATGTTTTCTTAATATTAATATTAAGCTTGACTTGGAAAAGCCTTTTTCTGGAGTAATTATTAGACTGGGAAATACAAAATTCAAGAAAGCAACCAGTCTTCTTTTAGGCTACTTCACAATCTTACCTTTTTCAGTGGTTTGAGGAAAACAACACCGCAGCCTTCTCCCCTTCCATAGCCATCTGCCTTTTTAGAGAAGGGTTTACTTATTCCCTCCGGAGAGATCATTTTTGCTTTACTGAGAGATACAAAGGTGCAGGGCTCTATTATGCAGTTTACACCACCACAAATAGCTGCTTCACAATCTCCTGGAATAAAGCAGAAACATAGTCATGTTGAGACTTCCAAGATGATAGACAGAAACATTTTAATTATCTTTAAGTTAATGGATTGAAAAGACTGTTATTATAGACAGACTCTATTAATAATACTAACAATTCTTTGAGATATTTTAATTTTCAGGATTGGAATCTGTCACTGAGGTACATCATTGAAAAAGTACCCAATACAGATCTCTAAAACTACATCAGGATATGGTTAAGAAAGTAACACTATTCCTTATAGTTTTTTTTCTACAGGTACGGTGGATATTTCTGAGGCACTAGAATCTTTTAGTTCTCTATCAGTGAAGATGAATCTGCAGAAAGTTTTATTACTTCACTGAAGCTATTTTAAAATATGAAGTATCAATCCTAATTTCTTTGCCTACCATCTCTTCAGTCCCCTTACCTGATTTAATTGCTCGCAAGGCATAGTGTAGAGCAAAAAGAAAGGATGAACAGGCAGTGTCAATTGTCAGTGATGGTCCCGTCAGATTAAACGTGTAGGACACCCGGTTAGCAGCTATGCTCATTGCTGTTCCTGTACCAGCATAATGATTTATTTCTTCTGATGATCTGCTTGTTATGATTTCATAGTCTCGATTCATAAGACCTAGAAAAATATCAAATATATGTCACATTACCCTGAGCAAACAAAAGGGATGTACAGCTCTGAGCTTGACAATGATTTTGTTTTTCTGTTTCATTATTAACCTACATAGCATTAGGACTGCTGTGGTGATATTTTGCTTCTACCCAAAACAAAGGCCAGACTCCCAGCAATTTCCACTGGACCCAGCTTACACAAATATACCTAACACATGATTTTTTTTTTTTTACCTGGAAAAATGACAGGTCTGTTCTGCTTGCTTAGCTCATTGTATGACACAGTTAAGGTGTGTGTAGCCTGTTTAGACCCTTGTATCTCAGTTTAAGCAAGGTTGGTTTCACTTCCTGTGATCCACTAAGCAAAGCAGTAAGAGAAAAGAACAAGGCCTGTGCCTCTGAAAGAAGTCATTTCCTCTCTCTGGAACACACATGCTTGGAGTACAGGGGATCTCGAGTCTATAGGCATGTGTGGAAAATGCAGTATGTTTATTCAAAGTAGGTGTACTGTGTAAGGAGAGCATGTCCGAGACTAAGAGGCAATCTAAGAGTTTGTCTCTGTAGTTTCATCAGCCTAACTATCCCAGAGAACTCCTCTTAAAACAGACACACATTTACACCAGCAAAAACAGGCTAGCTTCTTGACACAATCGGCACTTGGACAAGTGCACCTTGGTAGCATGCTACTATTTACATGAGAATTTCTGCTGGTTTCAAAGGATCTTAACCTCTACAACACCTTAACCACTGTTATACTGCAAAACATCAAGATGTCATCGGTCTGAGTTGAGAGTATCAGTCCTGGCAAGGGTTGGTCTAGGTGGACAGTTTAACTTTTTCCTGCATCAACTTCAGTGCTGCAAGACACTAACACAGACACAGACACCTAACAGTACATACATTAATTATATGATGATCTTCTAGACTAGCCTAATACTCTTTCTCCACCAAAAATAACCAGTTGTGTCATAGTACTGTAGCCTTAAGTTCTCCAATGCCAGAGATACATATAAATTTTACAAAGGGGCATTCCATTCTTTATGAGGTTAAAATGGACATTATTCACCGTGAAATGTTCTTACCAATAAAAACACCTGTTTTGGTGCCACTGATGACTTCAACAGGTACTCCTGCATCCTCCAGTGCTTTGTATGTGCATTCTACCAGTAACTTCTGTTGCGGATCCATCGCTTCAGCTTCCATGTTATTAATTCCAAACAGGTGGTTGTCAAATGTATTAAATCTGTTAAAAGTAGAAATCTCTTAGAAAATGGTACAATATGTATACAACATGCATTTATTTCTAGATCCAAAGTACGCATTTTTTGTAATGTCATGAAAAGCAAAGACCTAAGTGATGTTGAAACCACAGTTCCTGTATGTGAAATTCAGAAGGAAAAGATTATAGGCCAAGGATGCTTTATTTCCTGCCTCAATATATGTACTTTTATCAACTATTCCACATTTCAGAGTTCTAAGGCCACCCCTCAAAATTCTTATTCACACTGGTGAATTATCCCACTGGTACCGATAGGACTCCTTCATTATGAAAATAATGAAAATAATGAAAATAATAATGAAAATAATGAAAATAATGAAAATTGGCAGAGTAAGACTCTTCTGCAATGTCATCATAGGCAACAAAATTTAAATAGCTATTGTCTTCTAAGTTATATAAAGGCAATGTAGACCAATGGCTTTCTAGTTTAAAACCAATAGATATGGGACCAGCTCAGATGCTTCCAAGAGATGCCCATACCACTCTAATTAGAAATTTAAAATATTTTATGTGTTTATGTGTGGAGGCCATAAATCCACACTTTCAAATAACCAAAGCCAGACTCAATGTTGTATCCCATGATCACATTCATATGGCCTTCCGTCTTTTCTTGATTTCAGTGGAAAATTAAATATCTAATAGGAGACTATTTTCTTAAGTAATTCTGGGTCTTACAATCCAAAACTGTTAAGTTTTGCTAAGTGTAAAACTGTTAAATGTTATTCTCAGCAGCCAATAAGATTACTTCTGTGCATGTCAGCTTCTAATTGGAAAAAAGGCATGAGGATTTTCAGGAAATGTGGATTTAAAACCAAAGACACTTATGCTGATCTGACTGTAGCTTGATATTCTTAGCACTAGCAATATCCCTCATACAGCTGTGCTCATATCTCTGATATAATTTCACATGAGACATCAGGGCACAACTAAAGGGATACATACTGCAGGTTCCTTCTCCATGTCTTCTCTGTACACTAGGATCTTTACCTGGTATTTATATATACATAATCCCCCAGTATGATAAAGGACTGGCTCAAATAAAAGGAGTGAATAACAAAAAAAGTTTATTTTTGAATACGTAACAGTATGAGACTAAGTAAAAGCAGGATTATTATTAAATTATGAATAGTTCAGGTTTACAAGCAAGTGTAACACTCCAATCAAGCATAACATCCCTTTCTTGACCATCTAGCAAGCAGACTTTCTTATTTTGTCTCTGAATTGTCACACCTTCATTTAAATTAAAGCCAGCACAGGATTAGGTCCTAAGGTCCGGCAGAGCTGGCCAACCTTCAGTCTGGAGCCAGACAAGACTCACCAGGCAGTTCATATAGCTCAGAGTCCATACTCTGCCACCTTCCTCCAGAGTCCGTAAGTGGACATACAAATTCTCTGGCAGGCTGTAGCCCACCTCAGATCTGGTACATACCACCTCGTGCATAGTGCACTTGTACTTGTGTATACCCAAAATGCATACACGTCCGCTGTGTGACAGGTGACATCTCAAGACACGATGAACTTACAAGTTGGATTATGCAACCAAAGATCCTATGTGGCCTGTGAATAAATGTGCTCATAAATGGCATATAACAGGAGCTCCTGCAAATTGATAACTGCAAGTTTGTCATGTGAGAAAACCTGTCATAAAAGAAAACCTGTTCCTAGGTCCAATTTGTAAGGTCTCCCTGTGGCTTGTACTCTCCGAAAGGCTGGACGCATTCGCCTCGTTACAGAAAAAGTCTGTGCCACAGCACAGGAGCAGACTTACTCATTGAGAAGAGCAGCGCGTGTTGTGCATGATTTTCCTGGCTTGTTACTGTCTGGATCATACCACTCTTTGGTGTCAAACCTCTCTGGGGGTATTTCTACTGTGCAGTTTAGGCCTTCCTCCAGGACTTTCCAGAAATTGTCAATTCCTTCACCTGTTGTACAAATATTTCAAAGAAGATTAAATTATGTGCTCCCTTTCTCCATGTATATGTAGAAACGTACACGGAATGCTACATGGAACTCCCATGTACATAACTAATTTGCTGAAGAAGAAACACCACAGATAAAGAAATGAGTATTCTTTGGTGACAGAAGGATGGAAAGGAATGACTGATCTTAAGCACTTCATGCTTAAATGTAAAGTTACCCCACAAAATTCTTAACTTTTGTAAAACGCAAGAAGTTTTAAGATGTTTTTCCAAGCAGGTAAAATATCTCCAGCAAGTTGGCCACCAAAGAATCAGTGAATGGAGTTTAATCCAGTTGGGAGTGAGCCAGCAGTGACTCCAGATGGTCAAGTGAAATGAGGTTTCAGCGAGGAAGGTGTCAGTCTCGTTCCTCAGGTGACAAGTGATAGAACACAAGGGAACAATCTCACATTGTTCCAGGGGAAGTTTAGTTTGGATATTAGGAAGACTTTCTTCACAGAGAGGGTGGTCAAACATTGGAATGGGCTGCCCAGAGAAGCGGTCCCCATTCCTGGATGCATTTAAGAGACGTGTAGACATGACACTTGGGGACACTGTTAAGTGATGGGACTTGGTAGGTCATGTTGATAGTTGGATTTGATGATCATGAAGGTCTTTTCTGCCCTAAATGATTCTATGATTCTGTGATTGAGATCCAGAACTCCAGCTATGGGCACTGAGGCTATGTCTATGCTATCCTCTTAGCCCTGAAACCAGCTATCACGGCATCCACGCTGTGTCCCACATTTACCCTCCTCCCAGCTTCCACTTCCCTGTGGCTGACCTGTGGCATGGTGGTGCTAACCTCTGGCATGCTGACCAAGGGAGCTCTGATGTGGGCCAACACTGGGGCTGGAGACTGGGATAACAGTAACAATGCCTGCATGACAGCAATCCCACCTAAAGTTAATCATCCCTGTTTAGTCCACCATCATAGACAGCCAAGGACATTAGTTACACATGGAGTAGGAATAGAAGGTATTTTGAGCAAGTTTGCCGATGACACCAAACTTGGAGGAGTTGTGGACTCGAATGAGGGTGGAAAGGCCTTGCAGAGGGATCTGGATAGGTTGGAGAGCTGGGCGATCGCCAACCGCATGAAGTTCAATAAGAGCAAGTGCCGGGTCCTGCACCTGGGACGGGGAAACCCTGGCTGCACGTACAGACTGGGCGATGAGACACTGGAGAGCAGCCTAGAAGAGAGGGATCTGGGGGTCGTGGTAGACAGCAAGTTGAATATGAGCCAGCAGTGTGCCCTGGCAGCCAGGAGGGCCAACCGTATCCTGGGGTGCATCAAGCACGGCATCGCTAGTAGGTCGAGGGAAGTGATTGTCCCACTCTACTCTGCGCTGGTGCGGCCTCACCTCGAGTACTGTGTGCAGTTCTGGGCACCACAGTATAAAAAGGACATGAAACTGTTGGAGAGTGTCCAGAGGAGGGCTACGAAGATGGTGAAAGGCCTGGAGGGGAAGACGTACGAGGAACGGCTGAGGGCACTGGGCCTGTTCAGCCTGGAGAAGAGGAGGCTGAGGGGAGACCTCATCGCAGTCTACAACTTCCTCGTAAGGGGGTGTCGAGAGGCAGGAGACCTTTTCTCCATTAACACCAGCGACAGGACCCGCGGGAACGGGGTTAAGCTGAAGCAGGGGAAGTTTAGGCTTGACATCAGGAGGAAGTTCTTCACAGAGAGGGTGGTTGCACACTGGAACAGGCTCCCCAGGGAAGTGGTCACTGCACCGAGCCTGACTGAATTTAAGAAGAGATTGGACTGTGCACTTAGTCACATGGTCTGAACTTTTGGGTAGACCTGTGCGGTGTCAAGAGTTGGACTTGATGATCCTTAAGGGTCCCTTCCAACTCAGGATATTCTATGATTCTATGATTCTATGAGTAATTTAAGAGTTCCCATCACTCAACTTCTTTTGAGGCAGGTTCTTTAAAAAAGCTCTGAAGATGAGCAGTGCAGGATCAGGACACGTTGCATGTATTGCATGGAGACATAACTAAGAACAGTGTATCTGAAGAGAGGCTCTTTACTGGGATGTTTGCACCAAAAAATGGCTTGAACCAATTTAGCCTTTAATGCTGCAGTATGAGACTGCTGCTACAGATTTTATAGAGCTTTACTAGAGTACTGACAGCTTCAGAGCAGCAGAAGAACCTAGGGAGCTCTCACAGCTATCTAAATATCTCCTACCATCTAATCTCAGAATGCAGAAACCTCAAATCACCCTTGACACACCCAGTCTGTCTGCATGAGTTTCACGTACATAGCTCAATGCCCTGACCACAGCCAGAACTGCAGGTCTCGCCCTCAGGGGACAAATTCAAACCAACTGATTCTCACCACAGTGTGAACTTTTAAAAAGATCCTACAAGTAGCAAAGCAATGAATTCTACAAAAGTAAGGGAGACATATATTCTTTTACATGTACATGTTCTTTTACATGAATTGCTCAACTTTAATAAGTGACGGTGCTTTTCAATGTTCATTCAGCATCCTGCTTTGTATTTACCCAAAACTTACCTCCAGGAAAGTTGCATGCTATTCCCACAATAGCAATTTCACCTCCAGTCTCCATCTCCATTCTCTGGGCTGCACAATACAAGTAGAAACGTCAATCAGATCAATCAATTATACATTTCTCATTAGATAAATATTAGTTTCAAGGGTGAATTTCCCACAAGCACATACACTTGTTCAAAGGTAGATTAATCCTGGGTGATCTGCCTTTGGCTGTGATGACAAAGGACACTCTCCAAAGGTGACCAGACCTGCAGGGTATTTTTCTGTCACATTTAGAGGAAAATCCCAGACCAATTCCCCAGACTTCCTTATTCACAGACACTCCCTTTTTACTGTTTAACCCCTGCTACTCCCATCACCAGATAATCTGCTTTTGAGACTTTTCTCTGATCAGCCCTGCTTCATACTTTGGGAACAGTAGGGAAATACGCATTGACCAAGGTACACTTTCAGCTCTATCATCTCCATCCTTTTCAGAAAATAGTCCCCAAGCAGACTCTGCAAGTTATTGGTTAAAATCAGACAAGCTAAACAGGCAACAGGTGTCTAAATCACCCTCCTCTGTTTTCAGAGGTTAACCCCCACTGACCATGCTCAAAGACACCAACAGCTATGAGATAGCTGTATTGACAATAATGGGCAGTCTCCAAGTAGCACCACTACAGCCACACAATAACTTCCCTTTCATCTCATTTCTGGCTTCAAAGAGAAAGCTTATTGTTGGGAAGAAATACAAAATGAAAACGTGATATTTTTCAACAAATACAATGGCAAAGAAAAGGACATTACACATCACAAGAAATATCTCAGCATAGACTTTAAAGCTGATTTTTTTTTTGTTTAATTCTGGTAAATGAAGTTGGGAGATAAAAATCAGTACAATGCAATTAATTAGAACTCACTAAGATGCCTACCTTAGAGCTCTTGCTGGACTTAATTCATCCTACAAAGGGAAGAAGGGAAACATTGAAAAGGATTTTTAGCAATGTTTGAGAATTATAAGAATCTTATCTCGGTGATACCACGGTAGGTCCTAAAGGGCCCTTCAGCGTTACTGACTGCAGTGAAGCAGGGATGAGGCTGATTTACAGCCCCAGAGATCATCCATAGCTATGATTTCTATGATTTCTAGAGGGTTAGTCTCGAAATGTGAAATTAAAAACCACTGTTCAGAATCATACTTTGAAAAATTTACTTCACAGTGCCGAGACGGAGTTGGAGGGCCACCTAGTAAAAATAAAAAGACTAGGATATGGTTTTCTAGGTGTAAGTTCTATTTGAAAAACAATAATTCTAAAATGCCATGAAAGTTGTTTCTTCTGGCTCGTTCAAATTCATCTCCATCTAGAAGAATGGAGATCTGTTCCAAGAAGTCAGAAGGAAATACGATGATACAAACATGTAAAAGTATTTGTGACTTAGGATCTTTTTTCCCACATTAGACTCAGATTTTAGTTTCTATTTCTATCAATTTCTTCTTTAATTTCTGTTTTGTATTTCAATTTCTATTCCATTGTTATTTCATACTTTAATGTTTATTTAATTTGTAATTAAAATCTGTTTAATTTCTACTTGTGATCTATTGACTTCTACGTTATTTCTATTTCATATTTTAATTTCACTGCCAACCTGAAGCTGCAAAACTCAACATAGATACTCTTACCACAAAGGTGCTTTGAAGCATTTTTTTAAGTTATCACCTAAATAGCATATAATAGAAAAATAAGGGCATTTTGATTTTAAGACAAAATATGTCTTTGGCATCTATAGAATTATCCAGTGAGATATTTAACTCTTACCTTATATCATCCCAGTAGGGTGTACTAACAGGATGAGTCCTTGGAAGTCCTTTATAAAGGGTTCTAGGAGGTTTCATATTCAAATCCATGCTAAGACGTGAAAATGTGAACGCCTTTTAAGGGAAAAAAATGAGTCATTATCATTAATCAGTAGCTCAGACTAAAGTTCAATACTCCTTCCTTGGGGTAGTACATTCTTGACGAAATCAAGTTTTATACTAGGATAAAAGGAAAGTCTGTCTTATCTTAACTTACACAATTACAGGTACTTACATAATTGCAGATACTACCCTTGCCATGAGATTGCCCAAAGGGTTTGAAAGAACATGTTTTAAAAGGCTCTGTCTTTAAAGTAACATGTCAAATTGGTTTATTATTTATTTCAACAAATCTGAACCAGTATTTGAAGCCCTGTTTGTTTCCTGGAGGCACCAACTGTGAAAACTAAGCATAAACTATTAAAACTTGTGTGTCATGTATGATGCTACTGTTGCAAAGCAGTAGTGTTTAAATATGCAAGTATAAAAAGACTTCTCAAAAGACAAATAGTTACAAAATATTTGAGCCCACCAAGAAATCAAAAACAATGTTGAGCTCTCCTAAATACTCTTTTCTTAAAAGCAGAACTTACATTAGAATACCCAGAAGCAAGCTCTAAAGGCAACAAGTCCATCAGATTTCACATCAACTACCCAAACTCATCTTTCTCCTTTTCTTATTTGCTAATTGAAATATAACCTTGGATGAGTCAAGAGAGCTCATATGTTGTTTGTTAGTGTCTTCCCTGGCTGTGGGACCCAGTTCTTTCCAAATAGTAACAAGACAGCCACTGTCCTGTGGGGAAAAAAAAATACTGTCACTGAATAGCTTTGAAATCTGCTCTGAAATCTCAAATTCTGCTTTCATTTTCATAGTTGTAAATCTAAGTCAATCACTTTTCTGAATTCTGAGCTTATTGGGACTTATTTATGGACTTCAACTAAATTAACCCACATGCTGTGTCCACAGTGTCATGACTAGGCTGATTCACAAGGTGGTTACTCTGAAGCTAACTTGACAAGCTTGAGAAGTGCACCCACATAAACCAAATGGGGTTCAACAAATCCAAGTGCAAGGTGCGGCACCTGGGCTGGGGCAGTCCCAAACATGAGGGCAAACTGGGAGAAGAACTCATGGAGAGTAGCCCTGCAGAGAAGCACTCGGGGTTCTGGTGGACAAAAAGCACGACATGAGCCAGCAGTGCGTGCTTGCAGCCCAGAAGGGCAACTGCATCCTGGGCTGCATCAACAGAGGGATGGCCAGCAGGGGAGGGAGGTGGTTGTGCCCCTCTGCTCCTCCCTTGTGAGGCCTCACTTGGAGTCCTGCAGTCAGGTGTGGAGTTGTTAGAATGGGTCCAAAGGAGGGCCACGAAGAGGATCAGAGGGCTGGAGCACCTCTCCTAAAGGCTGAGAGAGCTGGGGATGGCCAGCCTGAAGAACAGTAGGCTCTGGAGAGACCTTATTGCAATTTTTCAATACTTAAAGGGGGCTTATAAAAAAGACGGAGTGCAACTTTTTGCTCAGGCAAACAATGACAGGACAAGGGGGAATGGTTTTAAACTAAAAGAGGGGAGATTTAGATTAGATGTTAGGAGAAAATTCTTCACTCAGAGGGTGGTAATGCACTGGAACGGCATGCCCAGAGGAGCTGTGGATGCCCCATCCCTGGAGGCGTTCAAGGCCAGGTTAAACAAGGCACTTGGCAATCTGATGTAGTGGCTACTTTCCCTACCCATGGCAGAAGGGTTGGAACTGGATAATCTTTAAGGTCCCTTCCAACCCAAGCCTTTTTATGATTCTATGATGTCTTATTATCTGTCTTCCATTATCAGTTTTCTGATTGCCCATCTCACAGAATTCTTGTCATGCAAGATAGCATAACCCTAGTAGGGAGTGGGTGCTGAATATTAGAATATGTTTCAATCTAGGTTAATTTTCTATTAACTATAACACTGTAAGGTGTCAAAAAATGCCATGTCATTTGACACTTTGAACCTTTTTTACAGCTTTCAGAAGAAGAAATAAATTGTTTGTACTTTGGTTGATATTTCTCTATAATAAGGTAAAGATATTCTTTGGTCTTTTCAGGAAGCTGTTTGATTTCATGTGACTTCAGTACCAACTCTGCAGTTACGGTCACAGGTAATTTTATGTTTATGATTTTTTATTTTTATTGATTATGAATATTACAATTGTGTTTTTGCACTTTCAAACTAGTTTTATTGATATTGGATGTAATAAATGGTTTAAAAGGGAATCCCCCATTGAATTTGCAAACCAAAGTATGGCGTAATTTTATTTTACCTTCAAATAGAAACTCTTTACTTAGGGCAGGCACAGGCTTTCAAAGCAGCATAATGTGATTTCTGACTGTTTCCTGAATGCAGCAGAAAGAGTTTTTGTCCTCAGCCCAGCCATACCTTGGTTGAGTAAAAACCCCACCATGGACTGGAGAAAAAACTTCCAGTGAATTTTGGACAATGCAGGAAGCCCTAGGCTTTTTTCATGTATACGGTATACTAAACCAAAAACTGTGGTATTACCTGAGGTCTGAACATTAAGAAGATTCAAGGCGACAAACAACAGCAGAAGTAGAACTTGTAGAACTGCTGCATCTTTTGCCCAAGACCCCCTTGGCCACCCACTTCAGGGTGACTGCTGAGCTGAGCCCATACAGTGAGGCAGCTAGATCTTCCCCTGTACTTACATCCAAGGCTGCATGGAGCAATTAATTGCTTGCCCATCTTTTTTTCTATCCTAAAGATTTACACCCAGTAGCAGACCTATGTGTTGTGCTCGTTACATGTAGCCGACACAATTGGTTTATAATCTTTGGAAAAGTGGGTAGGCCACTAGGGAGGACTATAAGGATGTAGCGAGGCTGTGCAGGGACAAAATAAGGGGCGACCTTATCGCTCTCTACAGATACCTTAAAGGAGGCTGTAGAGAGGTGGGGGTTGGCCTGTTCTCCCACGTGCCTGGTGACAGGACGAGGGGGAACGGGCTAAAGTTGCGCCAGGGAAGTTTTAGGTTAGATGTTAGGAAGAGCTTCTTTACCGAAAGGGTTGTTAGGCACTGGAACAGGCTGCCCAGGGAGGTGGTGGAGTCACCATCCCTGGAAGTCTTCAAAAGCCGTTTAGATGTAGAGCTTAGGGATATGGTTTAGTGGGGACTGTTAGCGTTAGGTCAGAGGTTGGACTCGATGATCTTGAGGTCTCTTCCAACCTAGAAATTCTGTGATTCTGTGATTCTGTGATTCTGTGAAAATTAGGAAGGCCAAAGCTCATCTGGAGCTCAATCTGGCTACTGCCGTTAAAGATAATAAAAAACACTTTTATAAATACATCAACACAAAAACGAGGACTAAGGAGAATCTCCATCCTTTACTGGATGCAGGGGGAAACTTAGTTACAAGAGATGAGGAAAAGGCGGAGGTGCTCAATGCCTTCTTTGCCTCAGTCTTTAGCGGCAATACCGGTTGTTCTCTGGATACCCAGTACCCTGAGCTGGTGGAAGGGGATGGGGAGCAGTATATGGCCCTCACTATCCATGAAGAACTGGTTGGTGACCTGCTACGGCACTTGGATGTGCACAAGTCGATGGGGCCGTATGGGATCCACCCAAGGGTAATGAGAGAAATGGCAGAGGAGCTGGCCAAGCCCCTATCCATCATTTATCAGCAGTCCTGGCTATCGGGGGAGGTCCCAGCTAGCAAATGTGACGCCCATCTACAAGAAGGGCCGGAGGACAGACCCGGGGAACTACAGGCCTGTCAGTTTGACCTCAGTACCAGGAAAGCTCATGGAGCAGATCCTCTTGAGAGTCATCACGCAGCACTTGAAGGGCAAGCAGGCGATCAGGCCCAGTCAGCATGGGTTTATGGAAGGCAGATCCTGCTTGACGAACCTGATCTCCTTCTATGACAAAGTGACGCGCTGGGTGGACAAGGGAAAGGCTGTGGATGTGGTCTACCTTGACTTCAGCTAGGCTTTTGACACCATCTCCCACAGCATTCTCCTCAAGAAACTGGCTGCTCTTGGCTTGGACTGGCGCTCGCTTCGTTGGGTTAGAAACTGGCTGGATAGCCGGGCCCAAAGAGTCGTGGTAAATGGAGTCATGTCCAGTTGGAGGCCAGTCACTAGTGGCGTCCCCCAGGGCTCGGTGCTGGGGCTGGTCCTCTTTCATATCTTCATCAATGATCTGGACGAGGGCATTGAGTGCACCCTCAGTAAGTTCGCAGAAGACACCAAGTTAGGTGCGTGTGTCGATGTGCTCGAGGGTAGGAAGGCTCTGCAGGAGGATCTGCACAGGCTGCACGGATGGGCTGAGGTCAACTGCATGAAGTTCAACAAGGCCAAGTGCCGGGTCCTGCACCTGGGGCGCAATAACCCCAAGCAGAGCTACAGGCTGGGAGATGAGTGGTTGGAGAGCTGCCAGGCAGAGAAGGACCTGGGACTGATGGTGGACAGTCGGCTGAATATGAGCCAGCAGTGTGCTCAGGTGGCCAAGAAGGCCAACGGCATCCTGGCTTGTATCAGAAACACTGTGACCAGCAGGGCTAGGGAGGTGATTGTCCCCCTGTACTCGGCTCTGGTGAGGCCGCACCTCGAGTACTGTGTTCAGTTTTGGGCCCCTTGCTACAAGAAGGACATGGAGGTGCTTGAGCGGGTCCAGAGAAAGGCAACGAAGCTGGTGAGGGGCCTGGAGAACAAGTCCTACGAGGAGCGGCTGAAGGAGCTGGGCTTGTTCAGCCTGGAGAAGAGGAAGCTCAGGGGCGACCTTATCGCTCTCTACAGATACCTTAAAGGAGGCTGTAGCGAGGTGGGGGTTGGCCTGTTCTCCCACGTGCCTGGTGACAGGACGAGGGGGAATGGGCTAAAGTTACGCCAGGGGAGTTTTAGGTTAGATGTTAGGAAGAACTTCTTTACTGAAAGGGTTGTTAGGCACTGGAACAGGCTGCCCAGGGAGGTGGTGGAGTCACCATCCCTGGAAGTCTTCAAAAGCCGTTTAGATGTAGAGCTTAGGGATATGGTTTAGTGGGGACTGTTTGTGTTAGGTTAGAGGTTGGACTCGATG